TAACTTATTAACATGTTGTTTATGATTTCTGACATTTTTAGGCCTACTGCTCTTAGTCACGTAACTTATTAACATGTTGTTTATGATTTCTGACATTTTTAGGCCTACTGCTCTCAGTCACGTAACTTATTAACATGTTGTTTATGATTTCCGACATTTTTAGGCCTACTGCTTTCAGTCACGTAACTTATTAACAAGTTGTTTATGATTTCTGACATTTTTAGGCCTACTGCTCTCAGTCACATAACTTATTAACAGGTTGTTTATAATTTCATGGTAGATTACTGCTACTAAAAAATAAATCAATATGGTGTTACAAAACAAAATTCAAAAATTGCTTATGCGACGTTTTTAGGCCTACTGCTCTCAGTCACATAACTTATTAACATGTTGTTTATGATTTCTGACATTTTTAGGCCTACTGCTCTCAGTCACGTAACTTATTAACATGTTGTTTATGATTTCCGACATTTTTAGGCCTACTGCTTTCAGTCACGTAACTTATTAACATGTTGTTTATGATTTCCGATATTTTTAGGCCTACTGCTTTCAGTCACGTAACTTATTAACAAGTTGTTTATGATTTCCGACATTTTTAGGCCTACTGCTTTCAGTCACATAACTTATTAACAAGTTGTTTATGATTTCTGACATTTTTAGGCCTACTGTTCTCAGTCACATAATGTATTAATCTTGATATAAGTTCATGCAGTACACATTTTACAGGTATCCAGTATTCAAAACATATTTGAGATAAATCCTGAAACTTCTCCAACATTCACTGCCTTGATTTTTGTGGGATGATAGTGAAGGAAATCTCTTCTACAAGTGAAAGCACAGTGGATCCCGATTTTTTTTTAAGTTTATCATGTTGCTAAACATGGATAAACAGCTGCAGAAGTAAAGCACTGAGTGTCAGAGATGCTCCACGATATATTCTGCTGAAGGTGTGCAGTAGTCACTGGAGCTGGACAATTAACTTGATTAACCTGTGAGCATTGATTACATTGTTCAGTTTCATATAAAATAATCAATCGATTGAAATTATGATTAAATAAATTAATGTAATAAAAATTAGTGTTTCTCATTATTACCATGTTCAATTATTCCAACCAAAATATTGTCATTATGGGAATAATTATTACTTTACATTCATTCAGTTACTCAGCTTAATCGATTAGTGCCACAACTAACAAAACTAGCCAACTAATCAAAACTAGTGTTTCCAATTATAAGTATTTTAGATTATTCCAACTATCCAAGTCTCATATGAGAATAATTGATTAGTTGAATGTAATCAGTTAATAAGCCCAACAATTAATCAATTATCAAATTCCATTCATTGCCCAGCTCTATTAGTTACATGACTTTTTCATGATTTACAGAACATATAACCACTAGACAATTTGAGGACTCCCCTAGGACGCATTACATGTGTAACCAAGGCAATTACTTTTATGTGGGAATTTAGAGAAAGAAGGTTTGTATATGCTGTAGGTCCTACAATGAAAGGGAAAATATCAATTTTTATTTATTATCATTCGTTGTTTAAGAAACATTTCAAAAACTTAATAACGACAGTCATAATAATCACAGTAAACCAATTAATAAATGCGTTAAGTAACAATCAAAATTACCGACATATATTAATTACAAATATCATTATATTATGTAGCAACCAATAAACAATCATTATATTATGTGGCAACCAATCAACAATCATCATATAATGTGTCAACCAATAAACAATCATTATATAATGTGGCAACCATTATATTATTGTAATTACTAAAAATCGTTATCATCAATACTGTCTACTGGAAGAGGACAAAATCCATCATGAAACTGTAATTAAATGAACATAATAACTTTTGAATTGGTAGCTCTCTTACAAATTCACTTTTATCATCTAAGTACTATCTTTCATACCCATATTGTATCTGTCACAGCATCAAACTTCCACTTATATTATTTCTATCACAAATGTCATTACTTTTATGTCTTAAACATCAGTCTCATCAGAGGTGTGCTATATCCTTTTCTTAAAGTGTGTCCTGTCACATCATTAGAAATTTTATTTTTACACTATAATACACATAAAATAGTCCAAGTATCATGCACACAAAAACAACAATGTACATTACTAATTCACTTACATACTGCATACGAAATGACAACTCCTGGAAAGATGTGACCAATCAGGGCTAGACAACCCAATAAGCTACAAGTCAGGATACAGAACTAGCACAGAAAGAGAAAAAGAAAGTCACAGCTTATTAAAACATCTTACATGTCCCTCAAGTACTATAGGAAACAATAAAATATCACAAAAAACAAACAAATCAAATCTCTTATACTAACTCTATCTTTTCCCACACGTGTTTTACTTTTTTGCGTTATTTGAAACCTCAAATAATGTTTTCTATTAACCAGTTATTTCACCTGGTAGTACTCTGTCATATATGAATTTCTTAAAATACAATAAGGTTAGCAACGTGAACCACGTGAGGCTTGTAAATAAAACGTATCAAACAACATAAAACACATTATGTTCAAATAACAATTGTCCTTCCCAACCATACAATAAACAAAGTATCTATAGACCATGGCAAAGACCTCTTTACACATTACTTGGATTTTTATTTTATTTTAAGCTTATTGAAGATTACAACAGTTTATCCAAATCATAAACAAATTGTTACTGAAGAGAGTTTTCTTTACTGGTACTCATTACTTAGCTTGATGTCTTATGGACATATTCTTCACTCATTAACAAATAAAGCTAGTTCTAGACAAGTTAGAAACAAGGAGATACAATTTGAATGCCATCACGGTGGAGATCTCAAACAAAGATCATAGATAATTGTGTAGCTCAATGTGCATGGGTTTGGCCCAATAGACTGAGATCATATTGGAGAAAAAATATTGTGAATAAATTAGAAATTACTACATGTATCCCCAAAAAATGTGGCGAGCTTTAAGCAAAAAATTACAAGTTTGTTGTATACCAAAAATCATATGTTAATAAAGTATTTGTACTCACAATACATCTGTGAATTAATGATATCATTCTGACCCAAACGTTTAGAAGTTCGAGTGTAGGATGATGTTCCTGCGAAGAATAAAAATGCTTTTCTTCCATCGTACAATTTGCATATTGTACTTGCATAACCTCTAGGACCTCTAAAACGTACATCAGCATTTGTTTCAGTAGCCCTGTACACTGTATATGGTATTTACTCTCCTCTACCATGAACTGTTGCTAAATCAGCAATACAGGGTAACATTAATAACTGATAACTCTGGCATCAAATACAATACCATGATGAATGGCGGCACTCTGTAAAAGATTGTGGAATGCACACTTGGATCCCCACCCATGCATGTAAGGTTAAATGCCAAAAGCCAATGACATATTGAAAAAAACTGTAATTTTTTAAAGTAACTGTAACTCCATATCTAATGCTTCATAGAATCTTTTGTCTCTCATTATCCAGCCCAACTGACGAGTTCTATTTTGAACAAAATCTTAATTGGACAGTAACTTGTGGAAAAAAAAACAAACTTGTAATTAACTTGAAACATAGGTTGACATCATTAGAATACATATCTCTCATTCTGTTGAAACATGCAAATGAGTAAAATAAAGACTTTTTATATAATAATTTAAAGAAACAGAAAATACAATTAATGTCATACCATGGGATCTAATGTACCTCTATCCTGAAATCACAGGAAAATATACCATTAATAACAGATCAGTAAAACATACAAGTGTATGATTGTATATGGAATCAAGGGAAATTTAATCTCTATCACACAAATACTTAGATTTGGAAATATAAAACAATTTGACATAAACTTTACACGTAGCTAAGAAATCTAAAATTAGTAATAAGATTTTAAATATAAATATTTAAAAACTGGTTTCAGATTAATTCCCGTTCCAATAAGCAAGCCTTCTTTATAACTTCTGTCTCAAATCATTTTTGACAGTTATACTTCTCCCAGAAATCTCTGTACAGACTTTAGTTAAGTGTTTCTCAGCACGTATGTCTAATTTCTCTGTTGTACTTGTTACAATAAAAACAGGTTAGTATATAGATACATCATATATTCAAATATTCTGGCTTTACAGATAGGTAAATACATCCAAAGTTTTTAACTCGGAACAAACTTATGACGATAGCTAACTCTTCAGTATGTTCATGATGGTGTGGTCAAATACCAGTCCAAAAAACAGTAACACCTACACATTATAGCCTCAACCTACCCACCCAACCAATGAAACACCTACATATTAGTCTCAACCTACCCACCCAACCCTATATTAAGATACTCAATCCAGGCAGAAACATAGAAACTCCAGAGTATTATCTTGTCTAAAAAAAATGAAATGTGAAGAGACATTTGACATGGAAGAGAAAATGAAACACCTACACATTATAGCTTCAACCTACCCACCCAACCCTATATCAAGATACTCAATCCTGGCAGAAACAAAGAAACTCCAGAATATTATCTTGTCTAAAAAAATGAAATGTGAAGAGAAATTTGACATGGAAGAGAAAACGAAACACCTACGTATTATAGTTTCAACCTACCCACCCAACCCTATATCAAGATACTCAATCCCGCAGAAACAAAGGAACTCCAGAGTATTATCTTGTCTAAAAAAAATGAAATGTGAAGAGACATTTGACATGGAAGAGAAAACGAAACACCTACGTATTATAGTTTCAACCTACCCACCCAACTCTATATCAAGATACTCAATCCTGGCAGAAACAAAGGAACTCCAGAGTATTATCTTGTCTAAAAAAATGAAATGGGAAGAGACATTTGACATGGAAGAGAAAACAAAACACCTACATATTATAGTCTCAACCTACCCATCCAACCCTATATCAAGATACTCAATCCTGACAGAAACAAAGGAACTCCAGAATATTATCTTGTCTAAAAAAATGAAATGGGAAGAGACATTTGACATGGAAGAGAAAATGAAACACCTACACATTATAGTCTCAAACTACCCACCCAACCCTATATCAAGATACTCAATCCTGGCAGAAACAAAGGAACTCCAGAGTATTATCTTGTCTAAAAAAATGAAATGTGAAGAGACATTTGACATGGAAGAGAAAACTTCCTGGTATCCTCTAACCGTTACAAAAACTTACCAACTTTATAAGCATGATGTCCAGTAAAGAAGAAAAGAAACTGATGGTCAATGAACAATGACCCACCCACAAAGGGAAGGCTGAAGAACAACAGATTAAATAAAGTTACAATTTCAAATAAACATATTCAATTAAGTTCTGAAATGAGTTGGAAAGTGCATTCCTCAAACGTTTTCACTGAGTGCTATAACATTCAAGATCACAGGTACATGAGAGGTCCCTAAATAAAATCTTAATAACAATTACAGGAGAAAATGGTTCAGGCTATGCCCTCCATTTATTTTAAACTTCTTCAAAACATACAGCTGAATTCATAGTAGTTTTTCTGTTAACATCTTGAGAATAAAAACAAAATAACAAAACCTCTTGCTAGGTAAATAAGCTTGTAAACAGAGTTGACATGTTTTGGATAACCAGGAGATAAGTTAATCTGTGAGAAGGTAAATGCGAATAAACTTAGTGAAAGGGTTATTTTCCAGATGTTGTCAACTATGCAGTAAATAAAAAAAAAAAAAAGAGTTAAAATATTCTCCAATGGTAATGTTTTTGGGTTGTGATATTTATTAAAATGATCTAATTAGGCTTACCACTCCAGGATAATCCTGTCTTAGCTGCCAGTACCAGCGAAGCCATACTTCACATGATGACCACCATTCAGAAAGATATCGAGAGAGTTCAGGAACACTATATACTTGTGGGTGGACAGGTGTCCATCTAGAAATCATAAGATAGGAAAAGTTGATCATGGCTTTGCATTAATGGAAGTTAATTCAGGTTAATGTAAAAAAAAAACAAGAAATAACAAGGCTTGAAAAAGTCAAAGATTTTTTTTAATCTTTACCATTTTCTTACCATTCTTCTAATAATACTTCCACCTACTACTTGCACTAACATCTTTTCTTCTTTAAATGTTTTCCATCTGAGGTTTTATTCTTCTTCTTTCTTTAGCAGTTTTTTTCCATTATCCTTCATTCTAGTCGTGCTTGATACTACTCATGTCATCTTTACCCTGTCCTGTTTATTCTCTAATCTTTAAAAAAAAAAGAAATTCCTCTCTCTCTTTTGTTTTTCCTTAACTTTTTCTAGGGTGCCTTCAGTTTTCTCTTTTCTGCCTTGTAATAGTTCTTGAAAATATATAATGGAGACTTGACCCTGAACCAAATATTTCCATAAACCATTAATAATATTATCAAAAAGGACATGAAATGTATAGCGTGTAAACCTAACAAATTTTACTCTTTTGAGCATTTCACTGTATGGCTAATATTCATCACATTTTAATAAACTGTAAAGCTTGAAGAAACTATTGGTGGCAGGCTAGTAACTGTGTTTTTGTTTGTTTGTGTTTTTTTCATTCTTAACTAACATTTGGTCCATCCATACTCCTACCTCTCCACATCCTTTACCTCTTTTGAAATCTACCCTTTCAACTAAAGCTGTACTTCTGGCTACCTGCCAGATACACATCATATGATCAAATGGTGAATGGACTAATGCCAGACTATTTCAGCTGGGGAAGAGAAATACCAGAGGTTACTCAGTCTACTGATGAGAATGTGAAAAATAAACAGAAACTAGTTTGTGCAAATTAAACAGATGAGTGTGGCATGTAATCTTCTTTCTGCCAGGGAGAGGAATTGATTTTCAGATATCACTTATACATGAATTCCCCAGAAAAACACATAGGTTCAATAAGTTTTAATATAAAAACTTGTAACCCAAGCACTTTGGAAAGTGCTCGGGTTATAGCATTTTTATCATTTTATACTAAGACTTACACACGAATGGTATTGTTACTGAGTAAGTGGTAACACTAGATAATATATATACATATATACTTGAAAAGTTTGACAAATGGAATTTTTCATTGTTGTTTGGGTCCCCATAGACATTTCTGTACTTGAGGGTGAGCACTGCTTCTCCTACTTCCTCCCTTTATACAAACCTAGAGGAGGGGAGAAATAAATGTTCTCCCAATTTCTGTACAACTGATAGCTGATCCAGCTTCAAACACAACATGTCTTTATTCAAATAGTCAAAGCAGTTAAACTGAATCGTGCAGGTCTGGGTGAGAGATAAAAATGGTTGTGTTTGATGTTAATAAATCACATCATTTGCACAACAATATCTCCATAAGAACAGTCTTCAGGGATTCCCAATACTCAGGATGTACAAATAGGATTGCTTTGGCCTGAAGTTTCAAATAGAAAAAGAGTCAATGGGAGAGATTAAACTTTCTTCATTTCACTCTTTCTAATCAACTTACTCTCTCTCTCTCTAAGCACTTCATTTCCGTTTTCTAAAATAAAATTATGATTTTACTAATGTTTGATCCTATCTTTATCTCCAATACATCCTATTCTTTTCAATTTTTAGAATCAAATACTACATAGTGAGAACATCTCAACAGAGCCACATACTGAGGTTAAACATGTTATATTAAAATTTTTTTTAGAATCTCATCACATCCTCACAGTCCATATCACTTTTGTCTAGTCATGTTCTGTCTAATGAGTGTGCATCATGACAACAGCCCTACAGTGTAATTTCCACTGCAAAAGGCTCTGTCATAAAGCTGTCATGTCTAAAGACACCCCTTCTCCCTGCATGGTCTCCATAAGGCATCTAGTGTAAGAGGATGACAGTTTACCAATGCCTGTTTTAACAGTCTAATTGCACAGGTGACTTGACTGATATGTCTTTGTATTAAATAGCATGAATACCTGTTTCATCCTCCAGCTGCTTGAGGTATACAAATATGTTGAACAAATATGTTGTGAAAGGAACTTTTGTACATCTGACTTGTGTTGCTTTTTCAGACAGAGATCCTTCTTGCTTATATTGCATACTGTTGCCTGGACTTTTGCCACTGTTCTTTGTGATTGTGGATTCTCACCTGTTACAAGACACTACACTTTGCTTGCAACATGCAGCTGGAGTACAACTTGTTGCAGGTCTCTTTCTGTATGGTCATGGTTCCCCAAGTTGATTCATATTCCAACGTTCTTCAATGCCATTAAGTACAAGGGATATCCTTGTCTTGGAATTTCTAAATCCCTGATCTCATTAAATTTTTATGATCAGAGTATATGAATATTTTGCATCAGAAAGAGCCATTACATACCTTCCCAAAAGTGATCAGTTTTTGGTGGCATCACATTACAAACGAAACACAAAATAAAGTAAAAATGAAGTTCTGATACATTCTGTTTCATGTGGACTTTTATATCAGCTGTGGTTGTCACATGACTTGCTGATTTGCTCATTCAAAAACAACCGTCAGTAGCATTTAGTAACCAAATAAGATATAAATATTATTAATACATGACATATGCCACTGATGACAAATTAACATGTATTAAGTAAGTAGATTAAGTTATACAAATTACTTACATTTACATTTAATATGAATAGGCTGATGTATTAACTAAGAATAATACAGCAATTTTTTTATTATAAGTATCAACTAAAACATTGTTTTTTTATAAATAGCTATAATATTTTTTTTCAATGATTATTTTATTAAGATGGCTAGCTACTTACTCCTCCATATCTTTGTCTTCACTAGGTGTCACTAAAAAGAAAACTTTATAGTCATTATTTTTCAACTTTTAAGAACACCATAAATGGTATATAATGCAACATCATCTCATTATCATTAAGTGATAAAATATATAGTGAAAACTTTACATATACAGTAACAAAGTCTAGAGAATTTTTAAATGTGTCTGTATCTAATGTGGAACAAAAAAAAGTACGTAACTTAGCATTTGAAAAGCATTTCAATGAAAATTATTTACATGGCAAAATATAAACAGGACCTGGTTGTGCCGTAAAACCCTGTAAACCTTGATCCTGAGCTTTATAACTGTTTATAATAACCAACTATTTGGCATACTTATATAAGTAAGAACATTTGGTTATAGTCTTAGTATAAAATGTATAACATTCCAAGTTATTAAAGATAGAAAAAGTTTTGTACTTTACCAAAAATTTAGAAAAATTATAAATTCTGCTCACTGCATTTTCGGTGTTTACTCAAAAAAGGCCTTAGAACACGATTTTTTTTTTCTTTAAAAAAAAAGAAATTAGTTTATTTTTTAATAAAAGATAAGATCCAGTTTTTACTTAAGCCCAAGAAAAAGTGTAAACAACTAAAAGGAATTTTGCAAACTGGTTTAAGATTAGTTGATATGCAACATCACAATACTCGAATGTTGAATACTCAAACATATATGATTACAGTTTAAGTTCTGAAAATAATTTTAAACTCCTGCTCTTGGTTTTGTCATGTTCGTATTCCTGCACCAGTCCAAATACCTGAGCATATACTTGTACACTTGCTTGGTTATTTAAATGCAACGCACTAGAATATTAATCAATACAAATGATCTTAGAAATAATTACACGATGACTGATTAGAAGTTTCAGTTTCTCAACTGTGGGCTTAAACAGGTCTGGCAAAATACCCAGAAGTACGGATATGGGGGTAATCTTCAAATATCGGGATTTTACGCATAGTTTTTTTTTCAACTATTTTTCAAACAAATCTTACTTTCCTACTGATCAAGATAACTTAGAATTTAATTCAACTCTGAATCTTGCAAGAATTTATCATACTTGCAGATAATCAAAATGAGAAGAAAAAAACAGCACTGCCAGCATTCCAGATAGCCACTCTTTCAGTTACCAATATAGGCACTGTTAGAAAAGTGTGGACAGCCTCATCCAAAGTTGGCACTGATTGTACTGTGGATGGCCTTGGCCTTCCAAGGCCTAACAGCAGTGTTTCTTCAAAATGTTAACATAAATAGATTCCTGAAAGAGAGGCTGAATAATGAACTGTTAATTTTTTTCTTAAGTTTAGACTTCCAACTTCCTGCTTTGATAAGATTCTTCCAAAATTAAACTGAAAGATGACAAGGACTGTTTACTATTCATCTGTTATGTCAACATAGACTGAAATCACCCAAGTCTTATGTGGAAAAATTGATCACAAGAACTAAGGTATACGAGGCAAAAGTTAACTCTTTTTCTCCAAAGATTCAATCAAGTTCAGATTTATACAGAAAAGATTTATTTAAAAAAATGTGATTTTACTGAAAGGAAATAAAAATACCTATTACTCACCCTCTTATCTCAGGCCAGATCCAATTTACTTAAGTTTTATACTGGAAGAAAGTTATCTCCAGATGTGTGCAAGTGAGAAGAAAGATGTCTATTACTCACCCCTTATCTCAGCCCAGATCCAATTTACTTAAGTTTTATACTGGAAGAAAATTATCTCCAGATGTGTGCAAATGAGAAGAAAGATGTCTATTACTCACCCCTTATCTCAGCCCAGATCCAATTTACCAAAGTATTATATAGTAATGATTTATCTTTAGATGAGTGTGAAATAGAAGAGCATCTGTCACTCACTCCTTATTTCAGCTCAAAGCCAATTCACCAAAGTATTGTATAGTAACGATTCATCTTTAGATGAGTGTGAAATAGAAATAAGGGGTGAATAACAGATGCTCTTCCAGCCCAGATCCAATTTACCAAAGTATTGTATAGTAACGATTCATCTTTAGATGAGTGTGAAATAGAAGAGCATCTGTTATTCACCCCTTATCTCAGCCCAGATCCAATTTACCAAAGTATTATATAGTAATGATTTATCTTTAGATGAGTGTGAAATAGAAGAGCATCTGTCACTTA